AACAAAAAATTCTCCAAAACAACAATACATATACAAATACATAAAAAAAAAAAAAATACTAATAGAACCAAATCAAATATACAATCTTTAAGTAATAAATGAAATCAATAAATTTTTTTGTATTTGTCACCATTATCATAATCTAATTCAATAACAAAACATAATTATAATATACGGAGCATTTTCTTTCAATAGAATATGAATTTCTAGTTGAAAATTAAAGGCCAGTAAAAGGAAGCTTGAGGGCATTTACTTGGTTCCCGGCGGTTCGCGTGGACAACTATAATAGAAGTGAAGTCCTTCTTCTTTGCATATTCCACAATCTGCAGAAGTAAGATAACTTGACTGATATAAGACCAAATAAAACATTATCACTAAAAACTTTGATATAAAAATTAATATTTGCACATGCGAACTAATTTGGAGGTCCATTACTCCGGCCTACACCAAAAGACAATATAGACTAGTGACAGTTAGCTAGAATTTAAATGGGTCTAGCTTTGGACTACCAAGTTATGAACAACATCACGTTGAAGTTCACAAAATCTTAAGACAAACACAGGGGAACTTATAAAAGAAATATGCTCCTTGTCAAAGGTAAATATACAACCTCATATTTAGAAAAATAACAATAGAATAAGACTTAGATGCTTAATCAAAAGGCATAGAATTGTACAAATGCATAAACAGTCATGGGCTTATGAACTAATGTGTCAGTATGATGTAGTGCCAGTGAGATGCAGTGGGTGTGCTTGTGTGCGCAAGGAATGAGATCAGCCACTTAAAGAATTTTTGAATAGCAAATGCAATGGGTGTACAAATGCATTTACCTCCCGGTGAGAAGTCAGTTCCCAATTCAAACTGACTTTCTTTTGTTACATTGACAGTAGTATATCTTTTTGATATTTTTTTCGGTTAGTATCAGGAAGAAGAGTTTGTTTTTTTCTGATTTATGGCTATAATAAATAAATTTCTTTCCTTTGTTTTGCTAAATGATTCAATATGTGTGGGTGTTTATCTTTCTTAGTTTGATTGGAATCTTTTATTTGCAATTAAAAGATTAATGGTTCATTGAGGTAGTTTTCCAACAACAGGGTATTTGCTACTGTTAATGTAACAGGGTATTTGCTCTTGACATGGATAAAAGATTAAAGCATTCAGCATTAAAATAGAAGTTGGAAATCCTTTATCACTTGAGCTAAGAGTAATATGATAATTATGTTAAAAATTGACTATTACTCTAAGAAGCAACATCATAAAATGACTATTATTTTTCAACTACAAATACGCCCAAAGGAAATAAGAATAACAGCTATCAAGCATCAAGCATTCAAGAGGCTTCTTGAAAAAAATTTCAAAAAAATAAATAAGCTCTTTAGGTTCAATATTTTAAAGCAATTTCAATTCAAGCCAAAAAAAAAAATTGCAAATACATATCCAATTCATACAAAACTTGCTCCTGACCGTGGCAAAGTTCATTGGATGTTCAATCACATCATGATAATCAGGAAGCTACAACACAACAAACAAAATTATAAACTCTAATTCAAGCAATGCCTTCCAATAACACAAAAGTATGAATAGAAGATGCAGACATACCTCTTCAGGATCAACCAGTTCTGCATAAACACCATAAATGTCTTTCCTGCCATAACTAGACTAAACCAAATCAATTGAACACTGAAAAAATGCTCAAACCAAAAATGTAACAAAATAGAATCCAATTACAATTCTAAAACCCACTTCTGAAGCTTATCAAGGATTAACTCCAAAGTCTTCTTATCAGGCAAGGGAAGCCCAAATGAAGGATCTGACGGTGTCCCTAATAAAAAAAAATGAAAAAACAATAAACACATTAACAAATACAAAAGTCACCATTGATCACAGCAAAACCCCCTTGAACCAAAACGTACCTAGATGAAGGATTGGAGCTCATCCAGAGACTTGTGCTACACAAAAACTCACATTAGATTAAAAAAAAAATCCAACAAATTCAACAAAATTATAATCCAAGATTACAAAATAAAGAAGATACGTTAATGAATAATTCACTTAAGGCTCGACATTTATGTCAATCAAAGCCAATTTAATGGAGCTCAAAAAACCAAAGCTGTTATCAAATTCTGAGCAATCAAAGTTGTTACTCCTATCAACATAGTTTCATGTTCTTCTCTTTGGCGTTATGTCAATCACCTAGTATGCATAATCGGGTGGTCCCAATGAAGCCCGAATCATATTATATAGTTGAAACTAAAGAGACGGAGGAATACACAAATAGACCGAGGAATACACAAACAGTCAGAAACCTATCCCAAAATATATGTACCTGGATAGCAAATTTACAACGGAGAGGAATGAAAACCAAAATCAATACAGAAAAATATGTACCTGGGCAGCACAACCCCAATACCGATAGGAAGAAGAAGAAGCCTCACTCACGCATCACGCCTTGGCCTTCCTTCTTTAATTTCGAGGGTTCCAACTGGGAAACTCTTCCTGACTTCTGATATTGCTTTGGGTGATCCATTAACGACTCACCATTATCGTTCATGTGAGAAATTTTGGGGATGAGATATGGAAGATTTGAGATTGGGAGAAGATTTGAGATGGATTCCATGAGATAGAGGCGTGATAGATTGGGAGAGTGAGGCGTGAGAGAGATAGAGGCAGAAATGAGAGAGGCGTGAGATCGAGGCTGTGTTGGGCGGGAAAGAAAAATATAGCGTTCATTGTTGACCGTTAGATCAAAATTTTTTAGATGATCTGAACTGTCTGTTATGTTAGAATTACGTTGTCCGTAAGATGTGTTTATGTTTTATCTCAAAATGATCTGGATCTTTTTTTGTCTTTTTGAATTCAAACTTCATTCTACTTTATTATATAGATTAGCATTTGCCCGTGCTTGAAGGCACGGTGTTACTCATAAATTAGTTACAAATATTTGTTCATATATAAATGTAAAGTAAAATATAATATTGTAGTAAACCACGAATAAAATGAGTATGCTAATATTTTTTATAACATCAACCTACATGAAAAACTATGTTAATTGTTACACCATGAAAATTATGTTATAATTAATGAAATATAATAATTTAAACATCTGAAAAATTATATCAGTTGACAATATTCAATGTTCTTTTTTTGATTCAAAATCTACGATTTTAATATTCATAATCAATTTTATCTAAATAATAACAGAATTTATAACTAATAGAATGAAAATTAAAACAATACTCCCACAAATAAACTAAGTCTGCAAATGTTGTCAAATGACCAAATATAACTATCAAAAATTTAACCGACTTTCAAAAGATACGACCTGACTGTTGAATTTGTATAATTCGAGTTTATAGTAATATTTTTAATTTTATATCATTCTTCCCCGTTATTTATATTTTTAGTATATTTTTTTAAACAAAACGTTATTTAGTATTAGATTATTTAGTAAAGATTTTTATTTCGTGTTGTTCACTAAATATTAAATTTGTATGATTCGTGTTCATAATATTTCTTATAATTTTGTATCATTTTTCTCGCTTGTAATTTTGTATCAATTTTCTCGGATATTTAGATTTGGATTATTTAGTAAATATTATTGTTTTGTGTTGTTCACTAAATATTAAATTTGTATGGTTCGTGATTATATATGAATTTAATCTTATATATTTTAAATGTTAAGCATATTTTCTTTAATATATTTCTTGATATCTGAGTTGTTCAATAATTTAAATTTAATATTGTATATTTTACAAGTTAATCATATTTTCTTTGTTAAATTAGATTTTTTACAAGATATGCTTTTTTTTTTCTTGATTATGGAAAAAAATAAAATTGACTATTGAATTTGTATGATTTGAGTTTATAGTAATGCTTTTAATTTTATATCATTTTTCTCGGTTATTTATATTCTTAGTATATTTTCTTAAATTAAACGTTATTTTGTATTGAATTATTTAGTAAAGATTGTTGTTTCGTGTTATTCATTAAATATTGAATTTGTATGATTCGTGTTCATAGTATTACTTATAATTTTATATCGTTTCTCTGCTTGTAATTTTGTATAATTTTTCTCGGGTATTTAGATTTTGATTATTTAGTAAATATTGTTGTTTTGTGTTGCTCACTAAATATTAAATTTGTATGATTTGTGTTTGTATATGAATTTAATCTTGTATATTTTAAATGTTAAGCATATTTTCTTTAATATATCTCTTGATATTTGAGTTGCCAAATAACTTGAATTTAATCTTATATATTTTACATGTTAAACATATTTTCTTTGTTAAATTAAATATTTTACAAGTTATGTTTTTTTTAATTGATTATGAAAAAAAATAAAATTGACTATTGAATTTATATGATTCATGTTTGTAGTATTGCTTAAATGAAAGAGAGATATACAGATGAATATTTTTGTGATATATACTATCTATCTAATATTTATTACATAATTTTCTTTCAGAAAGAGATACAAAGGAATATTTTCGTAATATACTATCTCTCTTGTGATATATACTATCTATCTACAGAGTTTGTGAGATACAAATAAAAATATTATAAAAAATTGATACTTTTTACATGAATTGAGTATGAGAGAAAGATACAGAGAAAAGAGAGAAAGATTTGCTTGATTTAAGGATAAGATTTGAAGAAATTAAATTTTGAAATATTAATTTTGGAAATTATAAATTTTGAGCAATAAAAATATTTTAAAAGAGTTAATGTAGTACGTCGGATTAAAACGATTTGAGATACCAATAACTTAAGACATTTTGAGATAACATAGTCCATTAAAAGATGACTTTTTTAATTACGAAATAATCTGAGCCACTCTTTGTCTTCAAAATTTAAAATCGTTCAACTTTGTCATATAATTACTTATAATTTTTTGTGGAATTGACTTATAAATTACTTTACTTATTAATTTACAATTACACCCCTTCAATACTGCAACCCATATTTTTTCTACCCCGGTTTGCTTAGCCAAAAAGCCACGCGTTCGGATCCAACAAAAGCCACCACCTTCAAGCAGTCGAGTAAATCCCCAAAACCCAGTTCGCAAGAAAGCAATAACTCTCTCCTGTTGTCAGGGTCATCACAGAACCAAACTCAATCGACCCAGTCTTCACTGTGAAAACCATGGTGCCGTTGCCGGAACAATCAGTACTGGCGGTGATAAGGGCATCACGACCCAGCTTCAGAAACGCCCATGACAAAGTAACCTTCGTTGTCCACGCCTCCTTCCTCGCCACCGGCTACGTTCTGAACGCCACAGGTCCTACTGCCTTCAATGATGACGCCCTCACCTCCACCTCTAGCGGTACCCTTCTTTTTTTTTTTTCCTTCTCTCTCTCTCTCTCTCCATCCACCCCACATACAAGTGTGTAATCTGATTTTCTTGGTTATTAGATGAGGTGGGTATCGAGCAATGGAACGAATTTGAGGACAGCTATGCTTTCGTTTATTCAAAACCCGAAAAGGGTTCGAAAGTGTTGGTGAAGTGTCTCGCTATGAACGATAAATTGCTCGTCGATGCTTTGAGTGAAGGGAGTTCTGACCCAGTTCATCTTGAAATCAAGTGGGTGTTTTTGAAATTTTGTTAATTTGTTCCGATCGGTGATTACTATATTTGTTTGATTGTAGATTTATGTATTCTTTCATAGTATTGGACTTTTATATAATATTATGTTGATTGAGTAGTTTTGTTGGATTATTTGCGAATAATATGTGTACATATGGGGTTTTTGATTTGATTTTGCAGTGTGGGGAACTATGATGGAGGAAATGGAGGAACCAATTATAGTTTGCAGTTCAAGGATTTGGGGAAGCTGGTGAGTATCGTTGATAAAGAGATTGTAAAAAAATTAGGTGGTTCTTCAACAGCAAGTTCATCAACTAAATCTTCAAGGTAACCTAATTTCTTGCCCCCTTGTTTTGTGCATTCAGCTCAGCTCGATGTTATGTTTCTCACCTGAGTACAGTTAGAATGTGGATGTTTAGAAATATTATTGTGAAATGATAGAAGCAGGAATAATTGAATTAATGGTCTACGTTGGTTTGAACATATTCAACATAGACCTATAATTGTGTCAATGAGAAGAGGTGATGAGATACTTTGTTACGAATGCTAACTATAGAGGTAGAGCAATTTGCTTATTGTTTACCTGACATATGATCCTGGACAAATTGCAATTGCATAACAAGATTTATCTAGCTAGTCACGACTGATTTGGACAAAGTTTTGTTTTTAGCGTTGAATTGAGCTCGATTTTATGCAATCCATTATAATTATAGTGCCACAATATGGGTTGTTATCAAATTATTGCTTAGTAATTAATCAATAGATGTGTAAGAGTTGTTTGGTGATAAAGGCTTTTTTAGGGGTTTAGGGTTTTGATGGGTTCTATTTTTCGTTTTTATTATTGAATGACAGCTGTTTTATAGTGATTTTGACCCCAAGAAAGTTGCTTTCTAGACTTGTACATGGTTCTGTTATTGTTGAAAATTCAGGAGTAAAGAATGAAGGAGATTATACTCCAGATATATTTGCAATGGAGGCATGAACCTGTATCATTGATTGTTTGTGTGTTCCAGAGTTTTAGGGGTTGCCATTATGTTGATAGTAATCTTTTAGATTGCCTTTTTTGAGTTGTGATTTTTCAGAGTATGCTATTTCTTCTTTATCGATAGGTTACTTATGTAGAGTTCTGTAGAGTGGTCTTTCCATATTCTTCATCAAATTGTTTAGTAAAGTTTTGCCTACAATTGACAGATTTCTATCAAATGTTGATTGCTTTGTTATAGACTGAATCTGAAGTCTAGATTGTCTTGCTTTATTTTTTTATTACCTTTCCTAAGTTGCTGTTTTAAACTCTATTTGCAGCAGTTTAACAAGAGAACAGAGGGATAATGCAAACCAGCCCAGTGTGGGAGACGCTGAACCTCAGGGCCCTCAACCTTTTCATCCTTTAGGGTATCCATTATTTAGCTGTTGTCCATATAAAGTTGTTGCACGTAATAGTTATAAAATATGGTTTCTGCTGTAATAGTAAGGAGAAATCTAAGTACTTCAAAATAATTTGAAAAAAGTAACTTCTTGTAGATATATTGATTTGTTTATACCATGACGTAGTGTAATTTTCTAGGACATACTACTTGGTGAAGTTTAATTTGAAAAAAGTAACTGGTTCTTGTCGCACATGATGTCCTTGGTGAAGATTAATTAAAGCCAAACTGATGAAGCTGAGTTGCTAATAAAGTGAATAAGAGAGATTTTTTTACTAGACGAAGGTATTGGCTAAACTTGTCTGATCCAATACTATCCTGTCATATAGTTGCATCATTAGGGAGGAGTAATGTGTAATTACCACCCATCCACATAAAAGGGTCTTTCTTTTAATTGAAGGAGTGGAAGAGCAAGAAGAAAGCCAAAGAAAATCTGGATTGAAACTTTAACAAAATATGGTGGTGATATATGATTTGTTGGAAGATATTTCCCTATTTGGTGGTGAATGTGTGATGTAGGACAGTCTGGGATGGAGAGCTTGTAAATTAGGGCTTTGTGAAGAGAAGCAACCAATTTTTTTTCTATTTTTGGAGATGTTTGGTGGTATAAAAGTCAATATCGTGACGTAGCAATTTTCTAAACAAAAACTTTTGAGAATGGGTTGCAATAGGGAAAGGGAATGCCCATAAAACAGCAGATATTGGATTGGGTATTGATGAGATTGTTAGCCGACGTGTGTGCTGTGAAGAGTGTGTTCTTACTTGAGCCATCATGGAGATCTTTTTACGGAAAAATATTAGCCTTTCCACCTTTTGGTGTTATATTGTCTCCCTGGCAGGAATTCTTAGGTACATGGAGTGCTACTGGCAGAACTTTTGTCATTTGCTTTTGCGCCTGATTGGGGCTTTTATAATAAGATGCCTTGGTTGTGCAGGTAACGATTTTGCCTGAACTAGATAAAAATAACACCTATTTAGTCTTCATTAATGAGGTCTGGGAAGATTGGGTTGTGTAAAGGCCTAATCTTTGATATAACTCCCCAAAATAGTTGTCCTCAGGTTCGAATCCAAAATTTCAAGTTTATTGGAGCGAACTTTGACCACTGAATAAGTGACCCTATATGGAACCCAGACTAGCTAAATTAGTGCTATGCTTCATAACACTGTAGAAGCACACTGCATATGGATGAACGTTGTCATTGATGGTGCCAGAAATCCATGATATACGGATATTTTTACTGTTTGCTTGTTATTAGGTGACACTCTTCTGAGTATGAGCTCATAAATCTGTTTGTATTTTGCAATGCAGGGTAGTTTTTCCTCCAGTTTATCCAATTGTTGGTGGCAGTGATCTCTTTCCTGGGCCTGGTGCTGGAATGTACCCTACTAGGTTCTTTCCAGTACCTGATTTTTTCCGATGCATTCATTAATGAATTGCACTCTTTGTGGCACGAGATTTTCCTTATTGGTTGATTATTTGTTAATTTTCATTTCAACTTTCTTTATAGGGGTGATTTTGGCGGCATGCTTGTAGGTCAGTACAATTAGTCTTGATTTTCATTTGATTAATGAAAAAAGTGTACTCTTTTGGACTTCCTAATCTTTATCATGTGGAATCAGGACCCAATGATCCTCGTTTTTTCGGTGGGATAGGTGGAGAGCCTGGTTTCCTAGGTGGACGACCGTGAGTCTCTCTCTCTCTCTCTCTCTCAATTTTGTAAAACTTACAAATAGTGCATTGTTTCGGTATTTTGATGGTTCTATTCAAACAGGGGTGTTCCTCCGGGTGCTCGATTTGATCCCTATGGCCCATCTGGTGTTCCTGGTTTCGATCCTAATCCGAGGTATTTTGCCTAATACGATTCAGTTTTACTAACAATTGATCAAAATATAGTTTTACTGTTAATTATTGTGGTATTCAAAATATTAGTTCTTGAGATGCTGTGGAAAAGCTTAGAATTAAGCCAAGGGTTCAGTTCAGAGCAGAGTTTGAAGCGATAAAATATAGTTTTAGCTATGAATTATTCTGGTATTCAAACTGCTAGTTCTTGAGATGCTGTGGAAAGCCTAAGAAAGTCAGAATTAAGCCAGGGGTCCAGTTCAGTACAAAGTTGAAAGTGTTCAGCCCATACCAGAGTGTCTTCCCCACCCTCCCCCCCTTTTCTGTCTTTCTTTCTTTCTTTCTTTCTTGTTTCTCTTCTACCCCTCCCATACTTTCTTCAATATTCTTTACAAACTGTCAACTTCGTTACCTGGGTTGAGATCGTGATCATCTTAGGTTGCCAAACAAATTACCTGGCTGAACACAAGCATTGATTAATTGATGGGATGTATAATTATTATTTCTTTTTATGACTACCACTATTGTACAGAACATAGGAATTCTAGTTTCTAGAAAGTCCTCTTCGTTATTACTCATGTATTCTTGAAATTTACTGGTGCATTGATTTTAACCACCAGGCCTTTTTGTTTGATGAACTTCTTCGACTGGCTCGAGAATTTTTTTTTTTTGGTTTTAGAGGACTTACGGCTGCATTAGACATCTTTGCCAGCACCATCACAACTACAAAAATGGGATTGAGGTCAATCTTGGCCTTCAGACATTAATGTGCTTCAAACTTAAAGGTGTTTGGTATTTTGTTTACACGGTCATAAAACACGATATTGTTGCGTTTAAAGATTCAGGGCCACATGGAAGTATGAATTTCTTTTCCTCTGGGAGAGGACACTACTTGATGTGTAGTCAAATTGTGGGATTGCCATGGAACTGCTTGACTTTGTACCTCCCCCATCCATATAGTTGTTGTATCCATGTCGTTCACCTCTTAAACAACTTACTGGTCCAATACTTATATTACTTTCTGCTGCTGTTTTCATTCTTTGACACATTTTTTTCCTTGGAATGCTCTACAGGATCCCACGGAGACCTGGTGGTGGGACTCATCCAGATTTGGAGCACTTTAGGGATGGCAATGACTTCATATAGACATGCTGGGACGTAACCTTGTGAAGTTGATTCTACAGAGTGTGGTCATGTGTGGATACTTGTCTGTTGTTTATGTGGCTTTATTTACTGTTTTCGGTTGGTTACACTGAGGCACACTAGGTTTCGAAGGTGTTCTGTATATTATTGAAAATTTTGGCACACAGTATTTGTAGTTAAACTGGACAGGTTTAATCCTGCGTCTTTTTGATGGTTTTCTTGATTTGTTGAAGAGACATACAGAGCAAGAGTGTGCGGTTGAAAATTATGTCTTAATTAGCAGAACATAAAATTAAATAAGTTTTTATTGGAAGACGTATTGTGTGTCTAAAGACGTGTTTGAGAAATATGTTTTTTATAATTTTATGTTATGAAGGAAAATTAAAAAATATAGTGGCGAAAAACAGTAAAAATGATAATAAAGATACAATGGCAAAAACTACTACAAGCAAGGTGTACACTTTTCCTAAGTGGGTTAACGGCTAGAATTTCTCGTCACAGAAATCAACCCAAACAACACAACAGATCAGACAATGGCACTAGAAGGTGGTTTCCTCGTCATTCCCAGACTCGTGAAGCTTCTGAGCATGTAGAGACAGAATTATAAACTTGGATATTTTAACTTCATTTTTTATTGATATCTCTTTGGTTAACTGGATACCTGTCATTAATGGATGATTGAAGGTCTCCAAAACTCAGACCTAGAAGATGGGTGCTTTGGAGATGGTCCTATTTCATTACCCTAGAAACGCCGAAGCTTCCACTCAAAGGCCACAATTCAACGGTTTAAGAAAAGTAGAAACGTGTATAAACATGTTAGTGTGGAAAATTTTCTCTTAGAAACCGACATTCGTCACATCTGGGCTCCAATTCATGTAGAAAAAAAAGGCCACTCTTCTAGATTCCACTTATTCATTTCGTCATTAGAAAGAGACCCACTACCAATATTTCATATATAAGCAAGCCTAGTCTTTGGCATTTGATCATAATATAATATATATATTTGTAATCTATTCCTTGTAGACTGCTTTCAAACAGAAAAGACATGGGTTCGTTTATTAAGCCTTGGATGTTCTTGCTGCTACTGCTGGTGATTAGTTTTAAATGTCAGAGCACAAGAGTTGCTGAGGCTGCCAGTCCAGTAGCCTTGCTACCTAAACAAAGTAAGGATTACCGATAGAACACACACATCATAAGCAATAAGTACATGTGATTAAATGGTTAATACTACTGCGAAATGATTTATAGGATACTCAAAGATTTTTGAGACGCTCGGAGTGGTTTGCAAGTGCTGTGATGGTGCCGGAGGAGAATGCAGAAGTATATGGGTTGGGTCTTGCTCTAAGCTACACTGCATCCCTTGGAAGTTACAACACTAATTGCATGTTTATGGTCTCTCTCTCTATAGTTCCAACCTTAGTTTTACTTGAAGTTTCCAGTTCTCTCCCAGGTCTATATAAGTTGTTTAGTGCTATTGTTCTCCAGGAAATACAGTTTCTACCCTATTAAATCAGATGTTGTATATTTATGCATAAAAACCTCAACTTTTCTTGTTTAAGCAGTTTCAAAGAAGATTGTAACATTAATGCTTCCGTGTCTGTTGCTTGGAAAAGTTGTTTTGAGAAGATATTCGCATTTTTGTGAATGATTTTCTAAACATAACGTTGTTTTCTCTAGTTGGTTTGGGCATTCCAATCTATTTTGGCCCTATTCGATAAAAAAAAATATGATATCACATTATCATAAACACTAATATCAACAAAAATACCATGTGAATTTTAGTCGATTCCTTTTGTTTTAATAACTTTCAATAGGCACAACATCCAATAACTAACATGAGTATTAAAGATTAACAAAGGATGATATTAAAATCTTACTACAAAAAGAAAAATGGAAAAAGTATAATTTTGCATTGAAAGTTCAGGTCAAAGATCAAAATCCTCTAATCCCTTTATTTGTTTTTCATCCCCCTTGAATAAGTAAAATTCCGTTAGCTTAATAATGCAATTGATTTTTTTCATTGATTGTGCCTTAATTTATCGATGGTTGCTTATCCGAGTAAAAAGACGGTGACTCTAGTAATAGGAAATATAACGTATTAATAATGATGTGATATTTCAGTCATGTCCAATATTTACTCCTAAACCAGTTACATTATGCTTGGATGGGAATGGGTTGGTTAGAAGAGAAAAGAGAAGAAATAGGAGGAAGAGAGACTTATATCTTGGTCCGTCAATGGATTGAATTTTAATCTGAATTCAAATTTAAATTCGATTGCCCGGATATGGATTAATATTTTTTGTTGATAATTCGAATTCGATAACTTATATTTTATAGATTTAAATTTGGATATAGTTATATCTGATCCGAATTATTTATATATTTTTATATAAATATTAAAAAAATTAAGTAATTATTTAAAGAAATTTAGGTATAATTTGTTAAAATGTAATTAATTAAATTGTTTAGGTTTAATCAAATTTTGAATTATTAACAGATTCAGATATGAACTACAAAAATAAAATCCATTGAATTATCAAATTGGACTCGAATCGGACTTTTGAAACCGGAAACGAATTGTATCACTGGTTTTGTGAAGGGAAGGAAAGGTAGAAGTGGATAGATTTGAGGCTAGTTCATTTCTCTTTCTGATTGGGCCTATTGGACGCCTTACATAATGTCCTTACTATATTGGGGTACAATGGGCCCAGCACTTCAAGCTAGGTCTCTTAATGAATCGAATTTTGATCCAATCCGAACTCGAATTTAATTAGTTGGATTTATATTAACATTTTTTTTTATTAATTATTCAAACTCGAATCCAAATTGAATATTTATATTTTATGGATTCGGATTTGGATATACCTATATCTTATCCGATCTAAAATATTTATTTTTTTTGCATAAATATTAAAAAAAATAAGCAATTAGTTGAAGAAATTTAGTTTCGGATCTGATTAAATTTTTTGATAAGATTTCGGATTGTTAGTAGATTTGGATATAAATCACATAAATAAAATCCCTTGGCTTATTGGATTAGACTTCCAAAGTCACATTTGGATTCGAATAAATCAAAATCCGATCCATTGACATGCCTGCTGAAAGCCCTTACTAAATTATGTAATTGGAGTATCCTTTTACAATTTCACCCATATTTTTTGAATTCAAAAGTTCAATCTACCTTTTTTTTGAATAAAATAAGATATGGATATATTTTTATAATTTAAAACATTTTCAAAAAATTCAGGTACGCCAATCTACCATTTTTGTTACTTAATCCAAAATTTAAAATTTTATTAAAAAAAAAAAAATCAAAGCAAATTGATGAGTAATATTCACAACAATGTGAAATTGGAAGCAAGATGAAGGTGAGAAATAAGATACAATCACACAACTCACAAGGACATTGAAAGTAACTTAATAATCACCTCCTTTCATTAATAGAAATAGATTTTACGATTGATCGACACAAATTCAAAAACTTTAAGGCGTTCGAGATTCTCTTATTATATTTTTAATTAATTTTTTTAATATTAGATTCTTTATCGTGTATTTAAGTATGACTCATAATTTATAACATTTTATACACATTTTGACTAATTTTTTCTTCAGTTCAATCAAAAGTAAACTATTCATATCGGGATTATAAATAAAATTTTTATAATTTAATCTCAAAAAATTGGTAAGATTTAAAGTCGGGACTGTAAAAATTATGTGGTTGAACATAATTAAATGAAAGAATAATGGAGAGGATTTGAGGGCGGGTGTGGACACAAGCAGGGCATGCGGCGACTGATGGTATGAAACCGATAAGTGCAGCTTTCTTACGTAGGACCCTTCACTTTCGGTCGACATTTTATGTTGATCCCACCAAGACCAGGGCCGCCACTGTCGTTACCTCTAGCCTCTTTCCCTCTCTCACTTTCCTCATTAATACCTTGTGGCCAATAATTCAACAGCCAATTCCAATTGGCCTACTCTTTCTTACTATCTCTTTGTGTAACGCAACTAAATTAAAAGTACCAATAAAAGTCAATTAGTTAGTTAAAAGTACATTAATTGAACTCGCCATAAAGTACGAGTGATTACTTCCTGATCCAACTTGGGACCAAACAAGATATATACTATTTAATATGGGAGTTGATTACGGTACCTATTTTTTTATTTAGCATTGCACTATTATTTATTACATTTATGATTGTTTTTATCATAAGTCTTTTTATCATTATATTGTGGTACTCAAAAAAATAGTAAAAATAGTTATCACAATAGTATCAAAAATATATATAAATATGATAAAAATATTCACAAATGTGATAAATTACTCATAAAAATGATAATATTTTTATACCGAAGAAAAATGATAAAAATAATAACTACAAAATATGGTAAAAACATTGACAACAGTAGTAAAAATACCCTCAAAAATTATAAAAATACTCATTAAAAATTGTAAAAATTGGAGGTATAGTACTAAATTTTTTTTTCCTCGGTGGCATCCCATAACAATGTTAGGAATGATTCAAGCAAATTAGAGTGGACACGACTCTGTGATATAATAGCTATTTCTGTTATAAAAGTAAAATTTATTTTATTTTATTTAATTATCATTTATTAAATTATAACATTAGTGTAATTGATATATTAAATATTTAATAGGGTAACTCTAATGAATAATTCAACTAGTTGAAGAGTTGAGTTATAAAGATGAATGTTTTGAGTTTAAATCTTGACAATTTTTTAGAGTTAGGAAATGAATATCCTAATTTTGATATAGATGACTTATAGATTAGTTACTCTACGCATAAATTGATTCGAATATTCTGACAATTTATGAGTAAAAAAAAAAAAATTAATTGGGTGTAAGATAGTGAGGATGAAAAGGACATTACATAAGAAGGAAGAGCAGAGATCGTTATTATCCACTAGGGCGTTAACGGCAATAGAAATGTTGAGAAGTCGGTAGGAGGGTCCCACCAGGATACTGATTGTGTACGTGGCACAAATCTGTTAGATTTTCGACCTGTAGGACTCAAGGAGAGAGGAAAACAAAGCCGTAACCGAAACTCAGAGAGAGAGAGAGAGAGAGAGGGAGAGAGAGAGAGAGAGAGAGAGAGAGAGAGAGAGACGTATACGTACGTATATAGTTTAGATTGTAAATTGGTGGGAGGCGACGGTTTCGTTTCGCTTTTCTCTTTCATTCTCTCACTTCACATACATTCAGCGAGATTTCACGTGCACCTCTTTTTTTTGTTTTTTCTCTGTTTTTAATTGAACTCTTCTGTTTGCAAATTTGTCGGCCGTTTCGTCTTATCTGAGTCTCCTTTGACGGTGGGTCGGGGTTATATACAAGTCTCTCTTCAAGCACTCTCATTCGTGTTCAGACAGACTTGGAGTTTCAGATACAGAGAGACATGGAGGGAAAAAAGCAAGGCGGTTCATCATCATCGCCGTCGTCTTTCACTTCTGATCTTTTTGGTTCGAAGGATTCCAGTAGTTCATCCTCTTCAGGGATTTTCGGGTCAATCTTTGCTCCTTCGTCCAAAGTATGGCCTTCTTCAAGCACTTCTTCTTCTTCTTCAGGAAACAGTTTTCATGTTCTTCTATTATATGTGTAGTTGTATAATATTTATGGTTTAATGGCTTTTCTCGTAGTCTGGAAGATTTACATGAATTGCATGTCGTGAATTTTCAATGGGTTCTTTTTCTTGGAGGTCACCAAATTAGGTAAAAGCATGTGTATATGAGGTTGCACGAGTGGTTTTTGTGCATATGAGTCCACCAAATGAGCTTTTATTAAAGCTCTCCAAATTTGTTAGAAGCACAAAAGGGTTATGGAGGGTTTACTCAATTTGAGGTTTTATAGTAGGCACAGAGAAGAATTGGAGAAGACGAAAGTAAAAAGTTGCCATGAGAGCTTGTATGTTTTGTCAAAAAAAAAAAGCTTGTATGTGTTGGGTTCAATTAAGGAGTAATGCTATTTAGATATAAAAATTTAATTTATTTATATGATTTTATCATAATCATTGTATTAACACGAAATTTTAATGTTTGAAGAGAGTTGCGTCAATCGAAGAGATATAATAAATTACGTCAATAAATTATGTCAAAATAATAGTTTTGTAAACTAAGTACTTTCCGATGGATTGAGTGTTGTCATGTTTGTCTTGCCATTCCTCCTTTTGGGATTTTCTTTCAAATTGTTGGTCTCTTTATGTTTTTCAACGGCATGCGTACTTTTTTTCAACCTGGTATTAAATGGTGAATTGCTACCTCGTTCTTTTTGTAAGTGAAATTTGTGGATGTTGTTTTTGTCTTCTGATGATTTTATTGTAAGAAAGCTGTTAAATTTGGTGCCGTTGGTTTTGTTTCAGATGTTGGGGAGAGAGTCTTTGCGTTCTGAGGCAGTAGAGAAGAAGCACGACTCTGCCAGTCAATCTTGGAGCACCAAACCTGGAGCCCCAGGTTTGTGAAGAAATGGAATGCTATGGAAATTAGGAGTTCTAGCTTGCTGATTTAATTTCTGCTGTGCCTGAATTTCCTTTTTTGAGATATATTTTTAATGTTTATACTAAATAAGAGTTTCTTTAATTATTTATTTGAAAGCTTTACTACCACCGGGCTGCTGTTCAGTGGCTTGCAATGCCCCGTTTAAGCTTTACTACCACTGGCAGCACTGTGGTGCAGGGTTAGGCTATGGCTCGAGTCAGTATTTGAGAGCGTCTCTGGTTTTCCGCCGTCTAGGCCCCACTAGTAGGGTTCTCTCATGGGTTCGGGCTGCTATGGCCACGCCTAGGCAGGGTTCCACCCCGGTTGCTCCCTTGAACCCTTTTTAGTGACCCAAAAAAAAAAAAAAAAAAAAAGCTTTACCTGCTTTAAATGTTTTGCTACGAAAATGGTTGCCATGGTTTTTGTAAGATCTCAATGATCCTTTTAAACTTTATAAAATATCTAATTTTAACTTCATATTGAGAGAAGAACCTTTTATGCTTGTCACTAAATTAAATGTTTGTACATGATCTTTTAGAATTCATACATTGGTGAGTAACTATTACAACCTTCATTTAGTCCTTATGAAGTCATTATCTGCTTACTCATTAGGCAGACCTGAATGACATTATTCAAAATCTATCATTTCCGAAGTGTTTTTTTTTTTTTTTGGGAATACATTTGTGCATAAATTGCGTTGACAGTCATGTACTCACCCCTTTTCCTGAATTGGAGTTGATTCTGCTCTTTTTGCAGACACTCCCCCTTGGAGCAATGAAGAAGGAAGTCAGAGCATAAGTAACAGGGACGTGACTTCGTTTTATCACCAAGAAAAAGTTCAACCATGTCATCTCAGCTCATCAATATACTATGGCGGACAAGATGTCTATTCTCAACCTCAGAATACCCAGACCTCTGGGTACTCCAATGTGAGTATACATTAACCTAATTGAAATGAATACTGCATTATAGTACATTTTGAGCACACTTCCTGAGAAAGTTCTATAAATGCAACTCAAAAAGCATAACTAATGTTGCAAAAATTAAAAACCATACATCAGACTTGTAGTTAATCAGGTTATTCAACTTCCATGGCACATATCTGTAAGAATTCCATTCATGGCAATTAATCCGGGTTAACGAAATAGCTTTAACAGTGTTTCAGATGCAGAAAGGAAATGAAATTAGTCATCAAGAGGTTTTGTTTACTTATTTATCTTCCTTCTTGTGAGCATAGTCATGAAAGGTTAATAAGGCTAAGATATGAATAGACATCTCTAACCAAAAAAACAAGTGGTGCTTGTCTGAGATGCTCTCATTTCATAATATTTGTCGTCCTGTGGGGGATAGATGAGATATCTTGTAGAGGACTATCACAGATATTTTGGTAATTTCTTTTTGGATCTTAGCAGTTTAATAAAAATTGGGGAGAAGATGACTCCGGCAGTGCTTCAAGAGGAAACTGGTGGCAAGGTATGAAGTATGAAATTGTTTGGAACAGCAAGCGGATTCCAATTTGTATTGCCCTAACATATTTTCTGTTCAAATATTTGTTTTGGCAGGTTCTCTCTATTATTAGGTGCTCATCACCCATGGCTTGTGAACTTTACATGGTATTTTATTTATGGAACTCTTTTTGAGAAATTAGATGCGAGTTCTTTTATTGTTTTTCGTTCTCAATTCTAACTTGTAAAAAGACCTTGATAAGTTCCAGACATGGACCATTCAATAGTGTTTCCTTGGATGTTCATAGACTCTGAGACTAGGTTATCTAGTCTAGTGATGTTTTCGTCACAATTTTGCACATCATACATATCTCTAAGCTACCATGTGCATTGAATGTTTTTAGTTTCTAGGTTTGAAAATTTCTGCTGAGGCGTAAATAGATTTATTGTCTTTGAATTCCATGATCTGGGATACAAAAATTAATTTTAGAACTGGGGTAATTCAGAAAATGAAACTCTCTTTTATATGAATACCACCATCACTCCCATTTGCCATTTGGGGTGTCAATTTTTCACAAATATTAGCACGACATGAACCCATGAACCCAAAAAAACCATAGCGGGAAAGAAGATTGAAAAAATTCAAATGGAAAGAAGTTTGCATGTGAAGGACTATATCATTGATGATGTTTCATTTGAATGCTATTCCTCCCAAATTGATATGCTTAATATCTTCTCTTTTATTTTCCTTTGCAGGTATTCAAAAAATTAGGGCAGCAGCTTTTAATACTACTGAGTTCTCTGAAAGATGGATAGTAGCCAGGTCGTTGTGGGCAGCCCGTAATTCCTGCCAAGCATTATATGTATTCGACAGTTATATGTTCTTTCTAGGGACTTGGTATGCCAGTCTCCTTTTGTGGTGGAAAGTTTTAACAAGAAATTCTGTAGAGTCTTTGTGTGGCTGAACTTTCTTTACTGTCTTACCCAAAAAAATGACATTTGCTAGAAACTCTTCCATCATCCTCCTCAATGGATAGTGACCCAACATGTGGAACTATTTTGTAATCTGTATTATGGTTTTGTTCACAACGTACTGTTGATTTAGCTCTTGCTTGGTGTGTGGACCAGTAGGAGAATTATCTAGTGATATATCCAACAAATTGTCTCAGAGCCATCGACATCTCGACCAACAATCTGTGGCTATTTTGTGTTCAGTATATTGACCGCCACTGTCCCTCATTGATCGTTAAGTCTTGTTTGGCTGTTAGGCGCTTTCCAGTCGACAGCAAAAGCGATGCTGCCATAGATGCCACAATCAGTGCTTGTCGTAGTGCTGCATAATTTTCTCTTGCTGTCAATATTGCTTCCACAATTCGAGCTCTGGCAGATTTTCTCTGTTGTTTTTAGCAATTTTGCTGCCATGTATCTGAACTTGGCATCAAGATAATACACAACACAGACAATGGATAATGGAAGGCTGGAAATTATTCTTACCCACTCGAATTGATGTGCGTAATTAGTGCATGAGACTTTCATAATTGTGCGGTCTACGTAGGATTACATATATGCTAAATAAAAAGTGTACACTTGGTTGTGCGTTAAATGAAAAAGACTTCTAAGTATATAATAAAATGGGTAGATTGTTTGTCTAAAATTATTTGCGACTTAAATCATTTGGGGAGATTATTGATCCCACGACCCTAGTACGAAATTCTCTCCCACCTCCCCTCCCCCAATTTTTTAAATAAGTCTTTCATTCCTTCCACAATTTTAAAACTCTTATCTCTCTTATAACTCTCTCTCTCTATATCTCATACTCGTGCAACTCACACGTATCTCTCAGTCAGCTCTTTCTCCCTCTTATATACTGTAAAAAATTAATCGCTAACACATTAATTAAGTTGTTAATTATAATTCTATATAATTAAAAATTATTTTTATAAATTTTAAATAAGCAAATGGACCTTAAATACAAATTCTTTTGTTTGAAAATTAGTCGAATGACTATAATATAGGTCTTATTTTCATATTAAAAATAAAAATACTATAATATTTGAATGATATAATAGACAAATAATATATATGTAATTTGTGATATATCTATATAATAAGGGAGCTAACATTATTTATTTTAAACTTTTTGGCGAGTCAAATTATTTTAAAATTATTGATCAAATGATCAAAACTCCAAAAAAAAAAAATTCACGCAAAATTTACAAAAATCTTTTCATTTTACTCGATTAGCGGTTCGAAGAGATTATGATTAGAATTCGAATTGAGCTAAATTTAATTGTCGAGTATAAAATATATATGCTTACTTAAATTTAATTTTTCTTGAATGTTCCGAGTATTCAAATTGAAGTCAAGTTAAAATTACTTGTAAAAATAATAATTAATAATTAAATTAAAAAAATATGGTGTCATTGTAAACGAGAATAAATAAGAATTAGTTTGTAGGTTTAAGATAGAAGTATTAATTTAGTCAAACTTAAATTCAATTCTTGATTTGACGTGATTATGATTAGAATTTGAATTGAGCTGTCAAGTATAATGTATAAAGTCTTAGTTAAACTTAAATTCAATTGAATTTTACGAATATTCAAGTTGATCTTAAATGAAAATTGATCTTAATTTTTCAACAAATTTTTTTATATTTACGAGAATTCATGTGAAACTCTTGGATAATTTTTTCTCAAAAGTTATACGAACTCACATTGAAAAAATGGTATAGAGATAATGTTATGAACTTTAAATATAAACCTGTAAAAAAAATAGTAATATTTTTTTTGAAATTTGAGAAAAAATATCAATAATAATTATATTTTTTTAAAATGTTTGAATCAATATGTTGCAGTAATTAGAGCATGATTTTCGTTATATAAAAGTTTAATTATATATGTTCTGCATACAGATTGAACAATTTTAATTTTAATTATTATATTGTTAAAATTGTACGATACAATTTACATACGCACAATTACTAATATTCAATATTAAAGATAAAATGTACATACAAACAAGTTACTATAGCTTTTATCGGTCAGACTATCAAACTAACACTTACACAGTTTTACCGTATGGTGGCCTTTCATGGTCGCGGTAACAGTATCAGGTTTTTCGTGTCCCAACAAAATAAGTAAAAAGAAATAAGGACCTGTTGGGAATACTTATCATTATATTACAATGTTAGAGTATGTATGACTCATATTTGTTGTGTACATAATGGCAAGGAGGCAGATGCCGGAGTGGGCGGAGCCCGCGACGGCATCTGCCTTGCGGGATTTATATAAAGGGGACGCTGATTAGTTGGGGGTGCAGGGGCAACGCCCCCGCAGTACGGTACAAAGGTATTTTTGTAAATACGTCCACATTAGGGTTATATAAATACTTAAGATGTAACCCTATTCTATAATGCAAAAGAACGGCAGCTCGCTCTCGTGGATGTAGGCACATTGTCGAACCACGTAAATCTCTGTGTGTTATTTTCTTCTGCTTTCTTAATTGTTTGATTCTTTACTATTCACTATAATTGCTGCACGATCACAACAACTAGTATCAGAGCTAGACTACGATGTCTGGGATTTCCTCTACAAAATTCGATATCATGAAGTTCGACGGAACTGAGAATTTTGGATTATGGCAGAGGAGGGTGAAGGACCTGTTAGTGCAGCAGGGCATGGTGAAGGCATTATACGGAAAACAACCGGCAGGAATGGACGACATGGATTGGAAAGAATTGGAAGCGAAGGCTGTGGCGACTATTAGGCTTTGTCTGGCTGATGAAGTGATATATCACGTCATGGATGAGGAATCACCGGCGGAAGTTTGGTTGAAACTGAAAAGTCGGTATATGTCCAAGTCGTTGACGAACAAGTTCTATCTTAAGCAGAAACTATATGGTCTTAAGATGTCAGAGGGCTCGGATTTGACTCAACACATCAACGTGTTCAATCAGATCATCAGCGATCTGAAGCGAGTTGATGTGAAGTTCGAAGACGAAGACAAGGCGCTGATGTTGCTGAATTCCCTACCGGCGTCTCCTACGTACGAGAATTTGGTTACGACTCTGATGTGGGGGAAAGAAACCCTCGAATTGGAGGATGTCACAGGTGCTCTGTTAGGTTTTCATCAGCGGAAGAAAGCCAGTGATGAGGCTTCACAAGGTGAAGGGCTTGTGGTAAAAGGTAACCAAGAACGTGGAAGAAGCAAATCTCGGAATGGATCGGGTAACAATAAAGCCCGGTCCAAATCGAGGAAGAAGAAGAAGGACGTCTCTGTCTCGTGTTACAAGTGCGGGAAAAAGGGGCACTTTAAACGGGACTGTCTAGAGAAAAAGAAAGGGGATTCAGAGAACAAAGAGGGTGCATCAAAGTCTACAAACGTAGTGGAAGAAGAAGATTCAGAGAGTGGTGACGGAGATATGCTTTCTGTTTTATCTAGTTCAGATCGTTTAACAGATTCTTGGATTATGGATTCAGCATGTTCCTATCACATGACACCCAACAAAGATTGGTTTGACACCTACAGGTCAGTAAATTCTGGTTCTGTTCTGATGGGTAATGATGCATCTTGCAAAGTTGTTGGAATAAGAAATATTAGAATTAAGATGTTTGACGGTATGGTTAGAACGTTGTGTGATATTAGACATATACTGGATCTAAGGAAGAATTTGATTTCATTGGGCACTTTGGATTGTAATGGTTATAGTTACAAATCTATAAGTGGAGTAATGAAAGTAAGTAAAGGCATTCTGACAGTGATGAAGGGACAAAAAGTAGTAGGAAACATTTACAGACTGCTGGGTACTACAATTGTAGGTGGGGTTGCTGCTGTAGAGTCTGAATCAGATAATACAGTCTTGTGGCATATGCGGCTGGGTCATATGAGTGAGCGTGGGATGATAGAGCTTCATAAGAAAAATCTATTGAAGGGTGTCAAGACATGCAAGCTCAATTTTTGCAAATATTGTGTTCTTGGAAAACAGAATAGGGTGCAGTTCAAGACAGCCACACACAAGACAGAGGGGGTTCTCGACTATGTCCATACAGATGTTTGGGGACCAGTTAGCGTACTATCACGGGGAGGATACATGTATTTCGTGAGTTTCATTGATGATTACTCACGAAAGGTCTGGGTGTACTTCATGCGGCACAAGTCAGAAGCGTTTGCCAAGTTCAAGCTGTGGAAAGCTGAAGTAGAGAACCAAACAGGGAGGAAGATTAAATGCCTCAGGTCAGATAATGGTACTGAGTACACAGATTCAAAGTTCCAGGAGTTGTGTGAGCAGCATGGGATCAAGAGACACTTCACAGTCCGCAAGACACCACAACAAAATGGTGTAGCGGAAAGGATGAACAGAACGATAGCCGAGAAAGCTCGGTGTCTCAGGTTGAATGCAGGGCTTGCAAAGAATTTCTGGGCAGAGGCAGTGAATATGACATGTTTCTTGATTAACAGAACACCGAGGGCAGCACTAGATGAGAAAGTATCAGAGGAGGTGTGGACAGGCAGTGAGATAGACTACTCTGGTTTGAGAGTGTTTGGATGTCCAGCCTATGTACATGTTTCTAGTGAGGAGAGGTCGAAGCTTGATACGAAGTCTAAACAGTGTATCTTTCTGGGATATCAGAAAGGAGTGAAAGGTTTCAAGCTCTGGGATCTGAAGGCAAACAAGATGGTGATCAGTAGAGATGTGGTTTTTGATGAAAAAGCTATGTTGCAGCGTACTCAGGAAGAAGAGAAACAAGTACCAGAAAACTGTAGCACTAATGACCATGTGGTGCAGGTGGAGCTAGAGAATCATGGTAGAGAAGAGGATGCTCAGCATGTAGAGCGTTCTATCTCAGGTGATCAACAGCATCATAGTATAGCCACAGACAGGCCCAAACGCAATATCAAGCCACCTACCAGGTATGGTTTTGAAGATTTGATTTCTTATGCGCTTATTACTAGTAGCGGGGATCCTACAACTTTTCAGGAGGCAGTACAAAGCCAAGAGAAAAGTAGATGGATGGGTGCTATGGTGGAGGAGATGGAGTCTCTGCATAAGAACCAGACGTGGGAGTTGGTGGAACTTCCCGAAGGGAAGAGAACAATAGGGTGCAAATGGGTGTATAAGAAGAAAGAAGTAGTATCAGAAAATGAGGGAGAAAAATTCAAGGCTCGTCTAGTAGCAAAGGGTTACTCACAGAGAAAAGGGGTTGACTATGATGAGATCTTCTCTCCCGTGGTCAGACACACTTCCATCAGGACAGTGTTGGCACTAGTAGCACATTCAGATATGCAGTTGGAGCAGATGGATGTAAAGACAGCTTTCCTTCATGGCGACTTGGAGGAACGGATTTACATGGTACAGCCAGAAGGGTTCAGTCTCCTTGGAGAGGAACATTTGGTCTGTAATTTGAAGAAATCACTTTATGGGCTGAAGCAGTCTCCAAGGTAGTGGTACAAACGATTTGACTCTTACATGATCCGAATTGACTACAAAAGGTGTGAGTATGATTGTTGTGTCTATGTAAAAGGGCTTGATGATGATTCATTTATTTTTCTGTTACTTTATGTGGATGATATGTTGATTGCTGCCAAGAGTATGAGTGAGGTCAACAAGTTGAAGACTTTGTTGAGTAGAGAATTTGACATGAAGGATTTGGGTGCGGCCAAGAAGATTCTTGGAATGGAGATTCGCAGGGACAGAGCTTCCAGGAGATTATGGCTATCTCAGCATAGCTATGTTGAGAAGGTGTTGGATAGGTTCAGCATGAGTTATGCAAAATCAGTAAGTACACCTTTGGCAAATCATTTCAGATTGTCTACCGCTCAGTGCCCGAAGACAGATGATGAAGTTCATGACATGTCAAAGGTCCCATATGCTAGTGCAGTGGGGTGTTTGATGTATGCTATGGTTTGTACAAGACCAGATTTGGCACAAGCTGTCAGCGTGGTTAGCAAGTTTCTTTCAAATCCGGGTCGACAACATTGGGATGCAGTCAAGTGGATTTTCAGATACTTGAGGGGCACTACAGACTATGGCATCAGGTTTAGCAGACAACAGAGTGACCCTTCAGTTATGGGATATGTGGATGCAGACTATGCAGGGGACTTGGATGACAGGAGGTCTACCACAGGTTATGTGTTTACTCTTGTGGGAGGACCTATTTGTTGGAAGTCCATGGTACAACCTATAATTGCACTATCTACTACTGAGTCAGAGTATATGGCAGTAGCTGAGGCTGCCAAAGAGGCTTTGTGGCTTACAGGTTTAGTCAAGGAGCTGGGTGCCCAGCAAGGTGGAGTTCAATTGCATTGTGACAGTTAGAGTGCCATTTATTTGGCAAAGAACCAGATGTATCATGCGAGGACCAAACATATAGATGTGAGGTTTCATAAGATCAGGGAACTGGTGAACTATTACTTGAGAAAGTTCACACTTCTGAGAATGCAGCAGACATGTTGGCAAAACCTGTTACTACAGACAAGTTCAAGCACTGCTTGGACTTGATTAATGTCTCTAGTTGCTAGATGGGAGATGCCTCAACTCAGCGTCCCCGGTGGAGTTTCCGAATACATGTCCTCTTTTTCTTCTAAGGGGTGAATATTTGCCAAGGTGGAGATTGTTAGAGTATGTGTGGCTTATATTTGCTGTGTGCATAATGGCAAGGAGGCAGATGCCGGAGCGGAGCCTGCGACGGCATCTGCCTTGCGGGATTTATATAAAGGGGACGTTGATTAGTTGGGGGTGCGGGGGCAACGCTCCCGCGGTACGGTACATGAGTATTTTTGTAAATACGTCCACATTAGGGTTATATAAATACTTAAGATGTAACCCTATTCTATAATGAAAAAGAACGGTCGCTCGCTCTCGTGGATGTAGGCACATTGCCGAACCACGTAAATCTCTGTGTGTTATTTTCTCCTGCTTTCTTAATTGTTTGATTCTTTACTATTCACCATAATTGCTGCACGATCACAACATACAACGACCTGTTGGATTGGGGCTGTCATCCTTTCCATTTTGTTTGAATGTTTTTTTTTTAATTATAACGTTCTTTACTTTGAACTTGATCTATTTCACCGGCACAATCACGAGGCATACCCCTTTAAGGTTGAATTTTTTTTCCTAGTATGAGATTTTAGGTTCGATATTTTTTACACCTCCTAAGGGTTAATCACCCTTATTCCTTAAGGGACATTTTTTTAAATTAGCTCAAGTTATAATTACCAACTCAAGGCTCGAAAGAGTAATTGAAATGAACCTCATTTAGTTTCACACCTGCGGGTGCTCAATTTGATCCCTATGGCCCACTTGGTGTTCCTGGTTTCAATCCTAATCTGAGATATTTTGTCTAATATGATTTCAGTATTACTAACAATCGATCAAAATATAGTTTTACTGTGAATTATTGTGGTATTCAAACTGCTAGTTCTTGAGATGTTGTGGAAAGCCTCAGAAAGTCAGAATTAAGCCAGGGATCCAGTTCAGTACACAGTTGAAAGTGTTCAGCTTCAGCCCATACCAGAGTGTCTTCCCTATTCCCTCCCCCCCCCCCCCCCTCCCCCTTTTCTTTCTTGTTTCTCTTCTTCCCCTCCCATCCTCTCTTCAATATTCAAATGATTGAGCTTCAAGCTCAGTCTGAAGGGGAGGATGAAAACCCAAAGAACGAGGAGAAAATTTGCTCACAAGTTTTAGGCTATAGGTCAGAGTACATACGTGGCCGTGGGTCTGGTCCAAAGCCGAACTCATCCTCATCCAAACAGTATTATAGGGCCGAGTTGGAGGCAGCTAATAGAAGAGCCAATGAGTTGGCTGAGCAACTTAATTCTCATCAGTTGAAGATGAATAAGATGAGGGATGAATTTAGGACATCACCAAAAGCAACAAATGACCTTGTGCAAGCAATGATGGAACAATTACATAATGAGGGACTTATTTCTCCTCTGTCATGGTAAGAAGAATTATTTGATTGATAAAAACTTTCAATTCAGCAATTATATTTTTTATTGTCTAAAGATGTGGTAATTTTTATTTTCATACGTGATAGATTGAAGTAATGTGGTGCTAAACGTGGTTGATTGGAATTTAGGTAAATTTCTACCATTACTCAGTTTACCTTGAATTAGTGTTATTCTGGGGCATAACCAAACTAGTTGGCGGGATGTATTTAGTTTGAATAAGTGGTTGATTGTACTCGTTTTTACTTTGGGTCCAGTTCAGTACAAAGTTGAGGTTTTACCCTAACCCACGGAGTTTTTAAACTTTATATACAAAAGAGGTAGTTTTCAAACTATTTTTCAAACCCATGCCCTTTTAAAAACATCAGTTGGAATGATATTTTTCAGTGTAGAAACGTTAGACCAACTAACATTTTCTCTTATAATACACAACCATGTAATATGCCTCAAAACATCGGTTGGACTCACGTTTTCACTTAAAACGTCAATTTAAGAGACTTTTTCTAATAACATTGGTCCAAGTAACATTTTCGTTGAAAACGTCAGACTAACTGAAATAAAGGATTTTGCTTAGTAAAAATAAAAAAAAATAATCAAATTGAGTTCCTGAATTTACCGTGGTCAGTTTATGGGCCAATAAAGGATTTTTATCTTCGAAACACATTGAAAGGGACAGTGCGCAAGAAATCATACAAAAATGATCGACTCTTCGAACACCAACGTTGTTATTGACTGACGCTTTTAGATTTTTTCTCCCTCTCTTTTTTACGAGTAAATGTTTAATTTTATTTATTGAAAAAATTAATTGTATTGAAAATAAATAAATAAATTTTGATGATCATTTCATAATACATAAATTTTGATTATATCAAAATTAAAAAATTGAAAACATATACATATAATTTATTTTAATTTTATCATATAATTTTAAACTTATACATATAATAAAAATAAATTTTTATTTTTAATTTTGATCATGTCGACAATAATGTTATTAAGTGTGTAAAAATAGAAGTTATTCTTAACCAAAAAACTGAGCATTTGTTTCATAACATGCTGTAGTGAATTTGTTTCATAACATGCTGTGGTGAATTTGTTTCAAAAAACTGAGCATTTGTTTCATAACATGTTTCATAACTTGTTTGATGTTCAAAAAAACATAAAAAATTATCGAGTACACATACATATGATGGGATAAAAGTGTCAGACGTATCATCGTCCATTTCAGAGAAATCAAAAAAGTTTAGAATCGAAAATAAGTAACGGATCCTCTAAAATTTCTATTTCGGCATATTCAGAATCAAAATGCTATGTTTTGGCATAATCGATTGCATGAAACCGATGAAAACGACGCTACATTTAATCATTTTCATGTTCAAGCCTTGATATGATCTCATCATGATTGTTTGAATTCTGTGGATTGTAAATATCAGTCGAACGTGCCTTTGGTATCGCAAGTGCATGCCAACGATAACATACTTCAAGGTCACTACGTTTGTTATATAACTGTCGTCATCTTAGTGTGGATTCAATATGAGCACTTGGAGACGAATAGTCATTTGCAGGTCCAACAATTATATGTCCAACTTTACCGAATAGGTGATAAGAGTCGATAGACTCATTGCGGAATTCACGCTTTCGTCTATACCACATTGTACCACTGGAATCACTATATGATCCAATGGAAGGAACTTTCTTTAGTAATGTTGATCTGTCAGTTGAGCGTTCACGTTTGTTAGCCGAAAATGAAATATTTTGGTCATTGTGCGAAGAAGAATCTTCATTGGTTTGATTGTATTGTGTATGTGATGTGCACCTATACATTTTTTTTATGGTGGTGCATTTACACAATTGTGAATGTTAGTATTTATATGCTCAGTTTGACAATTTAAAATAACAGCGAAAGGACATCACATCACAAAGTTTGGAACTGATTTGACAATGACAAGATGTGACAATGAAAAAGTTGTGATATGACAAAACATTGAATAAACTGATAAAGCCATGATATTGATTAACACTAAATAGGACGTAGACATAAACGTTATATGCTTAATAAGAGAGACACTAATTACATTTGTTAATTTTCATCAGACAGATACTCATCTGATAGGTATTGCTCATTAGACAATACAGTAAATCGTCCAGTATCTGTCAACTCTCTGACAAATGTAATTGTCATCATGTCAGTTGTTATTTGGAGCATATAATATTGACACTTACGCAACATCATCCTATTATTCTTTTTTTTTACATGTTTAACTGTTGCTTCATAGTTCACTCTATTCATTCGCGGCATGGTAAGTGAAAGTTTATGTGGCACCGGTACACAAAGTTTTCTTAGATCTGTGCATAATGAGTGTGATTCATTAGTAAGAAAAGTCCACTCTTGTCGGAGTCCGGCATAATACTCTTTTGGATCAAAAAATCTCTCACTCTTGTAATCATCATCTCGCTCTTATAATAATCAGACTAATTAATGGCTACGGCTGTTATCACCGGTTCGTAGTCTTGATGTAGAGATAATGTGAAATACATGTGATATGAACCACCCCGTATTATGTTTTTATAGTGGTTTCATTGTCTTAATGCTGCAGTGTTCAGTCACTTATTTTGTCGTATAAGCACATTTGTCAGCATTATAGTAGTGTGTAGTCACCTTTATATTTGAGTTGATCGTCAAACATTGAAAAAAGTATGCAGTCAGTGTGACTATACACTGTTATCTGTCAACGTAACTATACACCAGTAAATGTCAATGTGACTACAAACTACGAAGACTAATACATTAAAGTTACTAGACCCTGATTCACCTTGATTCAATTAGTGTGACTATATAATGCTTTAATGTCGTTCATTGAAGCATGCAAACTGACATACTCACATACATCATTTGCCTATAAGTTTGAATTCATGTGGAATGTTTAATGTGCAAAATTCATCTCTAACCATGAATTATAGTCTGAGAATAGTATTTGAAACTATGGGCTAGACTTTAGAGGATGAGTTCTTTTACCTAATGATTCCTCGCTTACGCTATTCATTAACGGCTAGAAACACAATGATGATGGAATGACAATATCGTTTGATGGAACAAGAAAATCTAAGCTTAAATTTACGTTCCTGCGACATAAGAAGGTCTCGACAAGCTATCATTGGTATGCCTATTATTACTCCTCAAGAATTAGAGCGAGCATTATTTCGCATTCGACCTGAGAATAATCGAATGAAAATCCGTTGCAATCGATACAATCTGCGTCGTATTACAAGCGACCATGCTGCAGAAGGGAGGATACAAGAAGCAATTTTAAGTTTCCAATTGAGTGGAGAAGCTGGATGAATTTCTGATATAGAGATGTCTGATGAAGATAAAGACCCATAAAGAAGTGTTATGCAACTCTTGTGTTGTAACATTTACACTTCAGTCGTCGTACTTGTGTTTGCAGTATGTTTCTATATTATGTTTCTTTATTATGTTTCTATGAAATATGGTGTATTACTCCAGTTAGTATTATCTATCTAAATTTTAATAAATTGTGTTATGTTCTTCAAAAAACATTGCTTATAGTATTTGATAAATAATTTGAAATGCAGTAATGAAATTACACTTTATCAAACTACGAACCTAAAGAGTTTTTATATACAACACTAATCAACACAATTTATATACAACATAGACGAAAAAAAGGACTACGTCCCGCAAGGTGGTGGTCGCCTTTGTCGCTTGGGCCGCTATCCATAAGGAGAAGCCGATATATCTTAAGTCACTCCACCATCTACAGGATCATGTGCATGGTAGTAAGGACAACTAACTCCATGCCTACCTCTGCTTCGCCCTTTATGTGAAAATGATGGCTCATGTGTAACTCCCTCAGCATGAACCTCAGTATCATCAGAACAGTCCTCATATGGAATAGGAAAAATAGGCCTTGTGGGCAGCGGTGGAACAATACGTGGAATACAAGTCACATCAAAAAGTGATGTAGTTGTCTAGTCCAGTACATGTGACATATCTCCTGTACCTACCGGCTCTGGTGAAGGTGTGAATGGAGACGCCGATGCATCAACATGTGATGAGGGCAGTGGTGGACTACATGATGTCACTGTAGGATTCTCAATCAGTGGCGTAGCGACATGGTCAACGACATGTGTACGAATGCAATAATCAGCAACTAGGACATATGGGATTGGTGGACATTCTCCGACAGTCTGGGAAACATATGCAGTCAATGGGCCTGCCTGTGATCATTGTGAAATGCGTGCAACTAGAGATTGTGAAGTGCGTACATTACACTGGCGTGCATATACTGGTGCTTTAACTACTGGCTGATGAATGTTTCTCGGTGGTTGCACAAGTTTTTGGTGCTCAGAAAGAGATAACAAACACCTGTAACTTAGATTTTCCATCTAACTGATGACCGTCAAACAATTTCGCAAATTAGGCTCACCACTAACAGTATCACGTGCTGTGTGATATACCTGTGTCAATGCCTGCAGCACCATAAAATAATTATTTAAAACAAGATTACGTAATTTCTATAGCACATTTAATTTATCTACAAAGTAAACAACACATACCAACAACTCGATGATACTGCCAACTGGCTGAAAATCGACGTCAGGTCGTGACATGGGTGGTCCGATAAGTAGACGAGTAATGCGTCGATACCACTCCAAGTATGGATCAATGACATCCATCATGTCGAGGGTATGCTCGTCATGAACAATAGTATCCTACCGTTGTTCCCATATGCTAAGATGTTAAACGCAATTGTCTCTTGTTTTCCTGAATCCTATAATTTTCCAATTTCAATTCACGTTGTAATGCAGAGGATCCATCTTGGCTACCTAGAGAAACTAAATCCAATGCCCAAACTAAATCAGACCAACATTTTGTTCTTTTTGGTGGGTTGTCAATGAGCAGGTAAAAATTGTGTGGATTCCTTTTAATTCCAACTAGGCCCCACATTTTTTTCTTTATTCATATCCGTAACTGC